CACCTGGCCTTGGTGGGAATCGGCCAGTGTGATAATAAAAAAATAATAATTAGCCATCTTCCACAACTCTGGCACAACACCAGTAAAGATGGACGCATTAAACACACTCGTTAATGGCTGACTAAGCTCCATCTTGCATTCCTTAAGTACCCTGGAAAACAGCTCATCGGGTCCCGGGGACTTATTTTGCTTCAGTTTGTCTATCTGTTTAATAACCTTGTCCCTCGTGGCAGTAATATTAGTTAATTTAGATTCATCGGGAACTAAATAACTGTTAATTACTGGAATCTCATTTACATCTTCCTGTGTAAAAACTGACAAAAAATAGTCATTAAATAAGGAACACATTACCAGTTCATTATCCGTCAGCTGTCCATTCCCAATTTTCAGAGGTCCTACTTTTTCCTTAACCTTCGTCCTATACACTTGAAAGAACCCCTTTGGATTAGTCTTTGATTCATTAGCAACTCTAATTTCATAGTCACGTTTAACCTTTCTAATCCCCTTTTTTACTTCTCTTTTAAGCTGAACATATTGGTCAATAAGGTTAACCTCTCCTCTTCTGATGCGCCTATAAATTCCCCTTTTCTCCCCTAATAGATGCTTTAGCCTCACTGTTAACCCATTTGGGATTGTTATTATTAGACCTAATTTCTCTCTGGGGAATGTATATACTCTGGGCACGGTGTACATTATTAAGAAAACAATCATAAAAGCAGATCCCTTCATAATCATAAGTATGATCATTGTCAATAAAATCATTAGCTAGATAACCCCAATCAAGATTAGACAGGTGTTCCCTAAGTCCATTATAATCGACAGAACGAAAATCAGGGATTTTTACTGTATTATCATTATTCTTGCATTCCCAGTTAATGCTAAAAGTGATGGATTTGTGATCACTTGCGCCAAGCTCTTCAGTGATCTCCAGATTATTTACGAGTGTTTCCTTATTTGACAAGACTAGGTCTAGCAAATTATTACCCCTGGTAGGCTCTGTTATGCACTGCTTCAGAAAACAGTCCTGAACTGTTTCCACAAAGTCACTGGACTCTAGATTACCTGTCAAAGAATTCCAGTCAATTTGACTAAAATTTAAGTCCCCTACTATGACTATGTTATTGTGTCTAGAAGCCCTAACAATTTCGTCCCAAAGAAGTCTCCCTCTATCGTGATCCAAGCCAGGAGGTCGGTATATTACACCTAGAATTAGTTTTTCTTGACCCTCTACAAACTCTACCCAAACAGATTCTGTTACTGTTCCATCTATTTTTATACCTGTTTTTATGCAACAATTAATATTTTCTCGAACATATAATGCAACTCCTCTCCCCTTCCCATTACATCTATCCACATTGAACAACTTAAATCCCTGAATATTACACTCAGCAGTCATATCCCGACTCTTTAAATCATACCATGTTTCAGTTAATGCAATGATATCAAAGTTCCCAGCACATGCCACCAAACGTAGTTCATTAATTTTATTTCTTGCACTTCGACTGTTAGCATAAAATACCATCATATGTTTTTTCTTCTGCACATTTTTCCTATTGATCTTTGTTTTTACACAATTTCTGAAATTATCATTACCCAGAGTTACTCCAGAAGAGTTACTATTAAGATTCTTAATATCAGAGCATAAGTCAATATATCCATACTCATTATTTATCATTTCTAAATCCATACCTCTAACTAATCCTAGTTTAAAGTTCTAACAACCCCCTCAACTGAGCTAGCAAGAAAACCCACACCTGCCCTGGATAAGTGAACCCCATCCCTGGCATACATGTCATTTCGGCCATAGAAGTTGTCCCAGTTGTCAATGAATGGTACTGCATTATCCTTACAGTGTTTATCCAGCCAACAATTAATACCAATTGCTCTGGACAACCATTCATTACCAACACCTCTTTTTGGCAAAATGCCACATATAACAGGGCACCCCCCCTTCTTCCTAATTATGTCTATAGCCGTCCTGAACTTTCTAACTAAATCCTCACTTCTACGCTTGCCTACATCATTGCCTCCAGCACTAAGGCAAATAATAGGATTGATCCCATTACCGTTCATGATGTTGTCAAGCTGGCTAACAATGTCCTCCATCCCAGCCCCAGGAAAGCAAACCCTCTGTCTCATACTCCTGTCCTTCAAGCAGAATGCCCTATCCATGTATCTAACCTGGCTATCCCCTACAACAACATTCTTACCTTCCTTGTTTCATTCGTCGTGACGATCCCAGTAGTTGACTCACATTCGTCGGGTAGCACCGAGAATGCTTTGGAGGTTTCCACAAGAGTTTCCACAGCAGTCTCTTTCTTCATCGTTTCTGGCTTTCCATTCGTCTTCTTGATCATCAACTTCGTCCCCTTCTTGACCTGAGGACTCGAAACAGGAGGACTACTTCGAATCCTCTTGTTTTCCTCGGTCAATCTCCGTATCTCCATCTTCGCTACCCTCAATTCTTCCTTAAGCTGCTGGTAAAGTTACTCGATGGAGGGCATCTTGGTTCAGTCCACAGGGAGCACACAAGACACTTCTTCACAGAGTTAAGTACAGGTCACCACTGAGTGAGAGGGGTTGGATTTGAGTCGGACTTGCACCTGAGCTTATTGCTTGGGTAGCATTTGTTGTTAGTGGGTTGGATTTGTGAAGGACCAGCCTAGTATGGGCCAGCAGGCCTGTTGCAGTGTTCCTACTTTCTTAGGTTCTTATTTAACATCACACTTACCAGTAGGGTGATCGAGGCTATGACCTTGGGTAGCTTTGGAGTTGGAGGAGCTGAGTTTGATTTGTGTCATTGGGTACAGGAGTAAATTCTTGGGTAGCTTTGGGTAGAGGTCATTTTGATAAGGACCTGCCTTGTATGGGCCAATAGACCTGCAGTATTCTTCCATTGTTATGTTCTTAGTGGGAAGGATTGTAAAGGACCTGCCTAGTATGGGCCAGCAGGCCTACTACAGTGTTCCTCCTCTCTTATGTTCTTATTGGAGATTTGTTTGTGTGAGGGAGGGATGGCAAGTTTATTGTTGGAGAATATGACACTAATATCAACTCTATGGCTTATTTATCTATCACAATTCAACTAATATGACATAATAAACAATATTAATAACATAGAAACATGGAATATACTCTAGAATGAATAAAATAAGTCATTATGTATGTCATGAGAGGTGTTGTGTTGTGTTGTTGTTGGGTACATAAGGGCCACTGAGTGCAAGCCGTCCATAATGGTGGTGAAGCAGCAGCTGAGGCGGCGGTGTTTTCTGTAGCCCTATATAACTCCAACATCATTGGAGAAGTTGGTAGAATCGCTGAATCACTAAAGAAGGAACCCTCTACCACCATCACTACGACCTTCTACGACTATTACAACTGTTACCACCATCACTACTACCTTCTACCACCATCAACCACTATCTTGGGTAGTACTGAGGATTGGGTTGGGAAAATGTTTTGTTAGTGGGATGAATTGTAAAGGACCTGCCGAGCATGGGCCAACAGGCCTGCTGCAGTGATCCTCCTTTCTTATGTTCTTATCACAACTGCTTCCACTCTACCACCACCACAACAGTTGTATTTTTCTACAAACTTTTTCATAAATTGTGTTTCTCACATTCTTTACCAAAGGACTGGCACTAGAAGCTTTCTTTGGAGCCATGGTAGCTTATTTAGCACTTGCAAGCACTAAAATCAACGGAATATTATGAAATATTTCGTAGGAGCATGTGAGGGGATCGTTGCTCACTGGTAAACAATGGCACACTGGCTGGGAAGGCAGGCCCAGGTGGCTCAGAGCGTGAGTACCCGTCCCAGACGAAGGACGATTAGGGAGTTAACAGACCATTTGCGAGCCAATGTTTGGACGAAATAACGAGACTATTTCCGAAATGATCGACTTTCAGGCCGACGATTATTGAGGGACCACTGTATACGCATCGGCGATTTCGCCGACTTTGAGCCCTATTTTTGGCCAATTCCATTGTTACAGTCGACCAAACGCATAGTATTTCTTTAGAACTCCATTTTTTTGTAGCGAGTACAAGAAACTGCCCATTTACCAATTTCAACCACCCAATAAAGTGGCGAGAAATTGGCAATTTGGCCAATTTCACACAAATTAAAAAAGATGCCAATTTCAAAATAGGGTCCAGAATAAACAATGCAGACATTCCTGGCACTAAAATAAAATATCCTCTGTTCATCAGTCACATCTCCAGGCCCCTCTTATATTACTCTTGCTTTCTATTTTGATTTTTTCTTCACACAAAAATTAGAAATTTACTGTTATGAAGACTATTGCATTACTGTAAAAATGGTATATATAATATCAGCGCACTAGTGAAAGAATATTAGACTTCCCAGTTGACGTGTACTGGATGTGTGGTGTGATTTGCTTACTCATGAACATTGGTAAAAATCGAACATTTCCGCTACTTTGAGCTCAATTTCAAGGTTGTTTTCATCATGAAACTTATCAAAATCATCTCTATTTCTGTAAAATGTTTTCCATTCTATCAAATGAGACCAAGAAAACGAGAATATAACCATAAATACTATAGGAAAATACACCTCAAAGTCGGCGTTTTAATCCAAAAACACGGTCGGAGTTTTTTTTTTCTCATTATGCACTGCATGCTGCAGGATGTTTTTTATACAGTGCACACTGACAACACAGACCCATTCTCGCACATGTGGGCCTACCAGCTTTCTCCTGCTCGATTTGAAGCCGCTAGAATTATTGAGTATATACTATACATCTGAAACACTGGCTTGTAAGACGTATATATATGGCCGAAACAGTCAAAGGGTTAACAAACAGCTAATACATAAGACATTGAATAAATATAAATGTACAATAAGAGACAGAAAAAGTTCAATCATTAGGTGCATCATCTCAGAAATGACAGACAATAGAAAAGACAGGAAAAATTTTGTTATAACAGTCCAAACCCTTGACATAAAAGCATATATTGCCACATTGTGTAGCAACTAACCTGAGAGTGTTTGGCAATAATGGGATGGTTGAGAGACTCGGTTATCTCAGAGACACTGGCCAACGTGCCCTCTGAAACACACAGCCCCCGGCTGCTGCTCGAAGGTCCAGCCCCCATACTACTGCAACCCTCTGAAAACAGTGACTAACTTCAATTATAACTTTAATAATTATCCATGAAGCCTTGAGGAATGAAAGACAGAGTCACTTCAAGGAAAGGGAGGGTAGTTCCAAGTTCTTAGACAAAGAGCTCCTCAGCAGCATCCAGGTATTAACGATACAGGTTGACCATCATTAATCCGGCATCATTGGGACCTGCAGGGTGCCGGATTAGTGATTTTGATGGATTACAGTGGTTAGGGTAGACTACACTTAACCCAACGATGATATTTATACATCAGCAATTTCACCCACTTTATGCATCATTTTTGGCCCATTCCATTGTTCCAGTGTACCAAACTCATAGCTATTTCACTAGTATTCCTTCTATCTGTTGACTGAGTATAAGAAACCACCCATTTACTTATTTCAACTACCCAATAAGTGGTCAGAAATCAGAAATTTGGCCAATTTCACACACATTTCAATAGGTACCACTTTCAAAATAGGGTCCAGAATAAACAATGCAGACATTACTAGCGCTAAAATAATATTTTCTCTGTTCATTAGTCACATCTCCAGGCCCCTCTTATATTACACTTGCTTTCCATTTTGAATTTTTATTCACACAAAAAATAGAAGATTTACTGTTATGCAGACTACTGTATTATTGTAATAGTTGTGTAAATAATGTCAACCCATTTGTAACTGTGTATTAGACCAGCCAGTTGGACACATACTGGACGGTGATGTCATTTGTTTACTCTTAAACATCGGCAAAAATCAAACATTTCCGCTACTTTAAGCTCAATTTTAAGGCATGAAACCAATCAAAATTATATCTATTTCTGTAATATAGCTTCCATTCCATCAAACGAGACCAAGAAAACAAGATTACAACCACATAAACCATATGAAAATACACTGCAAAGTCGCTGTTTTACACCAAAAGCACAATCGCCTTTCTTTCTCGTGCACTGCATGCTGCAGGATTTTTTATATAGTGCACATTTACCACACAGACCTATTCTCTTATATGTAGGCCAAAATTTACCAGTCACAGCTTATCTGAGTGAACTAAGCTCATGGCGACCGACAGTGGCTTCAGAGCCACCTTATCTTTTATGGACAATGTATAGTGTGTGTGCTTTACACAAGAAGCATTTCTTTTATTCATTGGAACCCTGGCTAGGGCTAAAAGTGAGCAGGTTATAACAATAAATGGAGAAAAAGAAACTGGAATGACTTATGCAGCAAGTAGTGCCACCAAACAGTAGCTGCAGGTTGGTGTTGCGACCCTGGAAATTTTAAATTATGCTAGCCAAAATTAGTGCCAGATTACTGATGGAAACGGATTAATGATTGCAAGATTAGTGATGGCCAACCTGTACCCTGAGTCATTATGTACAGTATATAAATTACACAACCCTAACATCCATTATCATATTTTCTTAATTTCTTCTCTACTTTCTTTATTTCTTCTGTCCTTTCTCAGTGTTTGCTCTTACAGTAACGATTCACCCAACTTGTATTTCGTGTGTCCTTAACAATTTTCCAGTGTGCATCTTTGTCATCTCTTCTAGTTACGTCATTTGTATATTTTAGACCATGCCTTCATATTCCACTAACCCTGTAATTCATCATCCAATCCATTAACATTGTAGATGAATGGTTCAGAGAACCGACACGTTGATAAATTAGATATATGTGCAACTCTTGGGAATCTTTATTGAGGAAACATTTCGCCACACAGTGGCTTCATCAGTCCATACAAAGGAGAAACGTGAAAAACAGGAGAATGAGGTAATCAGTCCCTCAACCTTGAGACGATGTAGTCAGTCCATAAATTTTGAATAGAATACAGCAGATCTGCAGAGAAGTAGCTTATATACCATAGGCAGGCGAGGGGCAGCAGTCGTAGGTGGTGTCACATTCATCCATTGTGGAAGTAGGTCGTGCCCAAGGCTTAGGAAAGCAAAGAATTCCCAAGTATTAAGATCCCAAGAAGTTTCATTCACTGAAGCCTCACAGTCCTAATCCCACTTCAAAACATGATAAAATTATGGTAAAAGACATGGTTAGGGCATTTCCTGCATACAATAGCATAATTATCATAAAATGAAGTTCACTGGCAGATGAAATAGAGAGTGATGGCCCTATCAAATGGCCCTTATACTCCCTAGATATAACACCTTTTGACTTCTTTTGAGGGTTTGTGAGAAATAATGATTTCCAGGTACTAGCAGCTGACATTAAAACACTCAGTGCTAAAATAAATGATGGCACTGGAAGTCACATCTGATACATAGGTCAATACATAAAATGAACTGGAGTATCAACTGAATATGTTATGGGCTACTTGAGGTGCATATGTTGAGGCTGCATAGATTACAGCCACAAAACTGCAAAACAGCTACCATATACAGAAAACAACATTTTCATATCTGTTACCATTAGAAAATAACTTTGTAGACCATGTCAACAACACCTCCCTCTTCTATATGCACTCTACTTGATCATCTAGAATTGCACACCAAGTTCAATGGTGTACAAAAAAAAAAAAAAAGAAATCCCTTATATTCATAAAGTTTTGATTAATCTGTATTTTATGACAAGTGCTAAAACTTGCAGCTCTTATATATTTTTATTCTATAATCTCTACTGCTTATTAAAGGACTGCAAAATCTAGGTATGGTACCTCTTATCCTCTTCTCTCGTCCAGTGGTGTCCTGAGTGTCTTTGGATGTGGATGGCAGAGCAGCAGCCTCACATTTTGCTCCCTCTTCACTCCCTGAGCTGTCTTTGTGGTGGACATCTGCCTTCAAGTCTAAAATTGCATAACTAGAGATAAGGAATGCTCAATAAAATTATCAACATGCCCAAATTTTTCATTATAAAAGAATTTCCTAAAAAATTGCAAAAGCTGCTACAGTGGAACCTCGGTTTTCCTCTTCAATTCATTCCAGAAAGTCTGACAAAAACCGAATTCGACAAAAACTGAATCAATGTTTCCCATAAAAAATACAGTAGTACCTCAAGTTACGAACTTAATTTGTTCCAGAAGGCTGTTCAAGTGCCGATACCGAACGAATTGTTTCCATAAGGAATAATGTAAATTAGATTAATCCATTTCAGACCCAAAAAAATACACTTACAAAAGCACTTACAAAAATACACTTACATAATTGTTCGAGTTGAGAGCTGTTCAAAACTCAAGGTACCACTGTAATGTTAATCCAATTAATCCGTTCCAGACACCCAAAAGTTTTAGCAAAAAATACATTTTATAGAGAATAACTATAGTTTTACATACAGAAAACAATGAGAAATAAATATAAAGTAGTAGGTTGGTAGACAGCAACTGCCCAGGGAGGTACTACTGTCCTGCCAAGCGAGTGTAAAACGAAAGCCTGTAATTGTTTTATATGATGGTAGGATTGCTGGTGTCATTTTTTCTGTCTCATGAACATGCAAGATTTCAGGTATGTCTTGCTACTTCTACTTACACTTAGGTCACACTACACATACATGTACAAGCACATATATACACACCCCTCTGGGTTTTCTTCTATTTTCTTTCTAGTTCTTATTCTTGTTTATTTCCTCATATCTCCATGGGGAAGTGGAACAGAATTCTTCCTCCTTAAGCCATGCATGTTGTAAGAGGCGATTAAAATGCTGGGAGCAAGGGGCTAGTAACCTCTTCTCCTGTATATATTACTAAATTTGAAAGGAGAAACTTCCGTTTTTCCTTTTGGCCCACCCCGCTTCAGTGGGATACAGCCGGTGTGTTGAAAGAAAGAAGGACTAATGAAATTGATAAATGAACATTTAACATAACGTTTACCTTCATTAAGACTTTTGTTGGTGTATGAAAGATGGCGAGGAGGGGAGACGGAGGAGAGGACTTCAGGTATCAAGTCCTTATCCGGGGTTACTTTCCTTCTTTGTCTTTTACTGGCGCCAGAACCAGCTTGTGTCGCTGGACTCCTGTCGCACAAAAAAATCTGTCCAGAGAGGCCTGTTTCTGGTGTATCTAAGATTTGCCTAAAATGGGACAAGGCATTGTCATTGAATATGTTGCAGGCAGGGCTTGCAACAGCTGTATTAGGATGATATTTCTCCACAAAACTTTGCAACTCACTCCACTTTGCACACATGTCCTTAATCACTGAAGAAGGCACATTCTCCCCTCTCTCTTCCTCCTCCTCCTCTGAAGCAATTTTCTCAGCTGTGATCTGTTGCTGTTCCAGCTAAAGGTGTTGCAGTTCTTCAGTGGTTAGTTCTTCCCTGTGGTCATCCACCAACTCTTCCACATCCTGGCCACTCACATCTAACCCCATGTACTTCCCCAAAGCCATAATAGATTCCACAACAGGTGTAGGATTGTCAGGGTCAGCCTCAAACCCTTCAAAATCCTTCTCTTGGACACATTCTGGCCACAATTTCTCGCCTCCTTTATCAAAGAGCAGGCACTCAGAACTTTCTTTGGCCCCATGGTGGCTTATTTAGCAGTCACGCTCAATAAACAAGCACAATAAACAATGGATTACAGTGGACCCCCGCCTTACGAACGCATCGTGTTACGTTAAATCCGCCATACGAAGCATTTGAACGCAAAAATTTTGCCTCGCCTCACGATAAAAAACTCGTCTTACGTGATCTGTCCAGGACGCGTCCCATGTGTGGCCTCAGCACCAGTGTTTACAAGCCAGCCAGTGCAGTCACATCCATGCATACATTCGGTACATTTCACCTTATCCCAGTGTTTTTAGTGCTTGTAACTGCAAAATAAGTTACCATGGACCCCAAGAAAGCTTCTAGTGCTAACCCTGTGGTAAAAAGGGTGAGAATTAGTATGGAAATTAAGAAAGATTTTGAAGGGTTTGGGGCTAACCCTGATAAGCCTATGCCAGTTGTGGAATCCATTGTGCCTACTTCAAAAATTAAGGAAATGTGTGCAAAGTGGGTTGAACTGCAAACCTTTATGGATGAAAATCACCCTAACACAGCTATCGTAAGCCGTGCTGGTGACTATTACAATGACAATGTTGTGACCCATTTTAGACAAATCTTAAAGGAACGGGAGGTACAGAGCTCTATGGACAGATTTGTTGTGCGACAGAGGTCCAGTGACTCTCAAGCTGGTCCTAGTGGCACTAAAAGAAGGGAAGTAACCCCAGAAAAGGACTTGCTACCTCAAGTCCTAATGGAAGGGGATTCCCCTTCTAAACATTAACAACTTCAACACTCTCCCCTCCTCCCACCCCATCAATCATCACCAGATCTTCATTAAAGGTAAGTGTCATGTATTCTATTGTTAGTAGAGTACTACAAACTGTGCATGTCTTCTTCAGTTTGTGTGCATTAAACTTAATATTTCATGTGGTAAAACTTTTTTTCATAGTGCTTTTGGGTGTCTTGCACGGATTAATTTGATTTCCATTATTTCTTATGGGGAAAATTAATTCGCCTTCCAATAATTTTGGCATACGATGAGCTCTCAGGAACGGATTAATATCGTATACCGGGGGTCCACTGTATTTTCCTATGGTATTTATGGTTGCATTCTAAGATGTGTTATAGAAATCAAAATGATTTTGAATGGTCTACGGACTAAAAGTACCTTGAAATTGAGCTCAAAATAGCACAAATGTTCAATTTTTGTCAATGTTCAAGAATAAACAAATCATGTCACGCATCCAATATACATCAACTGGTGGGTCTAACATGCTTTCACAAATGCACTGATATTATTTGTACCATTTTTACAATAATGCAGTAGTCTACATAACAGTAAATCTTCTATTGTTTGTGTGCATAAAAATTGAATATGGAAAGCAAGTGTAATACAAGAGAGGCCTGGAGACGTGACTAATGAACTGAAGAAATGTTATTTTAGTGCTAGGAATGTTTGTATTGTTAATTCTGGACCCTATTTTTAAATTGACCTTACTTGAATTGTGTATGAAATTGGCCAAATTACCAATTTCTGATCACTTTATTGGGTAGTTGATATCAGTCAATGGGCGGTTTCTTGTACTCGGTCGATAGAACAAATAGAGTTCTAGCGCAATAACTAAGTTTGGTCGACTGGAACAATGGAATTAGCCAAATATTGGGCTCAAAGTGGGCAAAATCACCAATGCATAAATATCGCCGAGACCGCTAACTCTGCGAGAGCATAATTCTTTAAGTTTTCCATAAAATTTTGTACTTTTCATGTCATTACCATCAGGAAATGATTCTGTATCATTTCACAAGAACGTTTTTTTTTTTAAATTCTTCGACACTGAGAGCAAGTTTGTGAGCAGGGGTCTCGATAGTGAAAGGGTTAAACTTAGTTTTTTATTTCCAATAGCAGCACGTTAAGGAGCAGCCCTCCACCCCTTGGACACGGTCACTGTTTTGGTTTGATGGAAGGTCTAGCATCACTGCCTAGTGTAAACAAACTAGTCATCTGTCTCTGGAAACATGCTACACAATGGTCTCTCATTGGTTATCCTCTCTACTTTCATTCATATCATTACCTTGCTTCGTCTCTGGATATAAATTATGGTACCCAAAAGGAAAACTGTGGTTGAAATTATTAGTGTAGAGGTAGATGGTGGTGGTGGTGGTTCTTACAGCCGGTAGGTTACTCACACAGCTAGTGTAACACACATGACAATTATTTGTCCAACATACTAGTACACAAAATTTTTCGTACCTTCAATCTGCCACCTGCCAATATTTTTGACCTCAGCACAACTATTTGGATCTTCTACAATCATTTCATACCCTTGAAAAATCTAAGGCCAGGAGGGTCCACACAGTGTGTCAAGGTTTAACTACATAGGTGATGACTATACAAGTCTGATGTATAGTGTGCCTAACTAGCATAAGTCAACAATGAAATCAGGTGTAGAGCTTCAAGACAAAATAAAGATATTTACCACAGAGGGTTAATGGTAGAAAAGTGACAAGTGTGTGTGAGCCTCACCTATGGTTGCTGGGGGCTGAGTAGTGTGTGTCCCGGGAGCTTCCATGATGGAGTTGCGAGAGCTACAACCCACTGGCGGGGTCTCACTTTCACCACCCTTACTGCTTACTACCTGCATCTCTATTGCCTCAAAAGACTGACTGCAAATTGATCAGAAATAAAAAAAAAAAAAAATGTTAAGAAAACCATCCACTGGACATAAAGAAAGCAGATGAATATATCCAACAGATGAACTGGAAAAACTGATGTCAATAAGAGTGGCACAGAGAAAACACTCTGCAGAGAAGTTTAAACTGGCAACCACTTTTGTTATCCCGGTTGCCTCTATTAACGTGACCCTGGTAAATATTTAGGTTCTGCTATGCCTATTTCTTATGATGATTCATCAAGCATGATGATTATTTTATGTTAAAAATACCAGAAATTGTACACATTTAGTTTTATTACTCACTTGAAGACAGGAAATGTTACCCAGTAAGCATGTACTTATACAGTAGCACTGTATATGAAAAAAATATTTTCCTCTGTATTCCAGTAGACTACCAACTTACTACAGAGAAACCAATTTATTTTGCATGATTTTAAAAACCAAATAAAGTTCATTTTTAGCATTTACTACATGAAAATATATTACTGCAAGCGTGCATGAGCGTGTTAGATAGGAGTGAATGGAGACGAATGATACTTGGGACCTGACGATCTGTTGGAGTGTGAGCAGGGTAATATTTAGTGAAGGGATTCAGGGAAACCGGTTATTTTCATATAGTCGGACTTGAGTCCTGGAAATGGGAAGTACAATGCCTGCACTTTAAAGGAGGGGTTTGGGATATTGGCAGTTTGGAGGGATATGTTGTGTATCTCTATACGTATATGCTTCTAAACTGTTGTATTCTGAGCACCTCTGCAAAAGCAGTGATAATGTGTGAGTTTGGTGAAAGTGTTGAATGATGATGAAAGTATTTTCTTTTTGTGGATTTTCTTTCTTTTTTGGGTCACCCTGCCTCGGTGGGAGACGACCGACTTGTTGAAAAAAAAAAAAAATATGGCATTATTAATATACTGTACTGTGAATGAAACAGGGTAAATCTTCAATTTTTATGAGAGATGATGAATTCAAAATGGAAGGCACGTGTGATATAGGAGAGGCCTGGTCACCTGATTAATGAACAGAAAAAATGTTTTAGTACCTGGAATATCTGGTGTTTATTTTGTGCACTTTACAGGGTACAATTGCAATAACTGAATGGGTTTCTCATACTCAATCAATTGAATGGAAGATATACTAGAGAAATAGCTAAGAATCTGGTCAATTTGAGCAATGGAACTGGCTTAAAATATGACTCAAATTCAGCAAAATTGCCGAACTGTAAATTGTGCCCAGACCGCTAAGTTTTCCTTCAAATTTTGTATTTTTGGTGTCATTACCTTCAGAAAAAGATTCTCTACAATTGCAGAAGAATTTTTGTTTTCTTTGGAAAAATGAAGACATTGAGCACTTTTAATTTTGGGGGTCTAGAAAATTAAAGGGTTAACAAAAAAAGTATATATTGTAAGAGCAAAAAAAAAAAATGGTATAAAGAAATCTAGAAGCAAAAATAAAAAAGTTGAAGGGTTTTAAAAGTGGAGATTGAAAGGTTTTCCTACTGAGCTTTTGAATATTAAACTTTAACAAAATTGTCTAAAATGCTGAGAATAGCATTACTACTAATCAGAGGTTTATACAGTATATACTAAACCTCAAATTAATGATGACTGTGTTCATCTTCATTCTAACATTAAGTAAATATAATTATTGCTCTTATCCTGATCTTTCATATATGAAACTCTTCCAAATCAAGCTACAGTATTTTAAAATTCATAAGCAAATCTTACCTAATCTGCTGAGCTGGTGGGGCCGAGTTAGGATAATGGACAGGTGTAGAGGCATCATTGTTTGTGGTGGCGGGAATGGCAGGCCTGAGTTCCTCCTCTAGACAGTCTGTTGTGTCAAACATGTGGTGAAGGAGATGGTTCATTACCTTGATGGCCACCACCACCATCGACAGGACTACCAAGTGAGCCAGCCACCCCGCCACCGACCATCCACAGTACTGTAAGCATCACACAAAATATTAAGTAGATTTTCTTTTACATGAATAATTATATACACATGATAAATAACAGTCTCTAAGAGTTGTATTCTCACTGTCACCAGAAACAAAGAGAAATGTACAGTACAAATTGTAATTATTAAGATATTTTTAGCAACACTTCTCTTCCCATGATAATATAAATACTGTACAATGTTTTTAAAATGTTATTTTATAGTGTTGAATTTGAAGTTTCATAATTTTAAGGGTATAATTTATAACTATGCATTTCTGTTTTTTGGGTTACCCTACTTGGGTGGGAGAGAGCCAATACTGAAAAAAACATATTGTATCATGTAAGTCCAGTACAGTTGGTGGTAGTGGTGATGGTAGTAGTACTGGTAGTAGTAGTACTGGTAGTAGTAGTACTGGTAGTAGTAGTACTGGTAGTAGTAGTACTGGTAGTAGTACTGGTATAAGTATGGTAGTAGTAGTGTTACTGGTAGTAGTATGGTAGTAGTATTAGCAGTACTGTTGTGGTAACTGGTAGAGTCATACTGATGGTCTCATGACAGGCCGTCAGTGGGCTGACCCCGGAACTCTTCAGGTAACATTCAGTAGTAGTACTGTAGTAGTACTGTAGTAGTAGTGTACTGGTAGATAGTAGTAAGTACTGGTAGTAGTAGTAGTATGGTATAGTAGTGTTAGTAGTAGTAGTACTGTAAGTTTAGTAGTAGTACTGTAGTAGTAGTAGTTAGACTGGTGTATAGTTAGTAAACTGGTAGTAGATATAGTATACTGGTATGTTATACTGGTAGTGTAGTACTGGTAGTAGTATACTGTATACTAGT